CAAAATAATTTTCATATTCTCATTAACCTGGAAAAGACTACTCTAAACAGTTTATGATTTCAGTTGTGCCTTTGAGAATTTTCAGAACAGTGTGAAAACTTCCTTACATTTTATTTTTAAATTTTACGTTTTATTTTAAATTATAATATTTTAATTTTACTTTAGGGAATGTTGAAATGTGCAAGCTTCCATTTGTACAGGAAGTTTAACTTGGCTTCCACAGATAGCATCACTCTGACAAGGTCTGTTTTGAATGTCTTAAGAGGAAACACAGCCCAATCGAGGTCGGAGAGGTGCACTCACAGTGCATATAATGTCTAAAGTCAGATACAAACTTTCTTTCACTTTATTTTGAGTTCACTGGCTATTTTTTAATCTATAGTTTTGGATCTTATAATGAAGATAAACCTCTGGGGTACCGTTAGCACTAAATAAGGTGGTTTATGTTGAAGAGTTTGGGAAATTATTAATATCGGTACATACGTAAAGTGGTTTGAATGATTACTCATTTCTCTGAACCAGGGTTTCTCCATGTGTGGAGCCCCTCCTCTGGCTCTTCGAGATGAGAGGCTGACAGGGACTCACCCAGGATGGGGACAGCTCAGCCTCAGGCTTCAGGAGGAGCACGCTTTGGTCCACAGCCTGCAGAGCGCAGAGGGACAGAGGAGAAGCTGTGATGCGCAGGTGGGCCTGTGAGGCGGGAAGACTCTGCGCAGGGCTGAAGCTCAGATCCACCTGTGAGAAGGGAAATCAAGTTTAGCTTCTTAGTGCTGCAGTGCTGAAGCCCGTCACTCGGAGTCATTCTTTAATTCCACGCATGTCTGTTTTGCCACATTATGACCGTCAGAAGCCTAGTCTGAGGTCCTTGTTTTTCTTCCCTCCATCAGGATAGATTAGGAAGTTAGTAGGCATGTCAGTCACATGAAGCAACAAATAAACATTTGAGCCTGTGGATATTCTCGCAAACAACTCATTCTCTCTCTCTCTCTCTCTCTCTCTCTCTCTCTCTCTCTCTCTCTCTCCATGTGTAAGTGTGGTGTATACACATATGTATGTGCAGGTGCATGTGGCCAGTGGCCTGCTCTCACACTCTATACCTTTGAGCCTGTCTCTCACTGAACCTGGAGCCAAGTGGCAGCCAGTAAGCACCTGTGATCCTCCTGCCTGCCTCTGTCTCCCACAGCAGTGGGGTTACAGGAGCCAGCAGCCATGCCTGGATTTTATTTATACATGAGTGCTGGGATCTGAACTCAGTGTAGCAAGTGCTCTTACCCACTGATCCATCTCTGCAGCCCCACCCCGAAGTTACATTTTTTTTTTTTTTGAGATAGAGTTTCCTTGTAGCTCCACCTGACCTGAAACTTGCTATGTAGACCAGGATGTCCTCAATCTCACAGAAATCCACTTGCTTCTCCTGAGTGTTGGGACTAAAGACATGTCACCATGCCTAGTGCTAAAGTTCCTCATTTTTAAGGATATGATGGATCTTGTTCTGTGGGGGGAAATAAGCATTCTAAATAGTGATATCTCTATATTTGTCCCTTTGGCTTTCAGTATGGCTCTCTATCTATTTCTCTCTACCATCTGTCATCTATCTATCTATCTATCTATCTATCTATCTATCTATCTATCTATCTATCAATCATCTATCTATCATATCTATCTACTTATCTAGCTTGGTGGGAACAGGGTTGAGTGGGAGCCTCACTGCCAGGAACCATCAGACTCTACTGCTGAAGACATCTGGGTAAGTTCTCTATGTACCCCTTGGTACTTCTGATTGACTGACTGGCTGACTGACTGACCGACCTACTATCTACCTATCTGTCTATCTATCTATCTATCTATCTATCTATCTATCTATCTATCTATCTATCTATCTATCTATCATCTATCCATCCATCCATCCATCTATCCATCCATCTATCTATCTAATCTATCTACTTATCTATCTACCTATCTATCTATATCTATCATCTATCTATCTATCTATCTATCTATCATATCTATCTATCATCTATCTATCTATTTATCTATCAATCATCTATCATCTATCTATCATCTATCTTTAGCTATCTATCTATCTATCATCTATCTATCTATCAATCATCTATCTATCTATCATCTATCTTTCATCTGTCATCTATCTATCATCTATCAGTTGTCTCTTAATGTTTCCTATTTCATTTCAGGACAGTGAAGCAAACAGCTATGGACTGGGTTGTAGTGAAAGGACTGGTGAAAGTTTAGAATTGTGATTAAGTAGTCCTGGAGGGAGAAGAGAGTAGATGAGTTATAGTTTCATGTATACAACATGATTAAGTACTAAAGATCTCTGATACAGTACATATGCATGGGTCTGATGCTGTGTTCTTACAACACACATAGAGAAATCATATTGAAAAATGGAAGAAAAATAAATGTGCTAACAATTAATAGGCATAGGTCCTATTTCTGTTTTTGCCGTAAAATTATATGACCTAATGAGATAGGTCAGAGGTAAAGGCACCAGCTGCCAGACCTGGTGACTTCAGTTTGATCCCCAAGACCCATATGGAAGGACAGAGCTGACCTGTGAAAGTTGTCCTCTGACTTTCACATGGACTCACACATGCTGACACTCACATATATACAAATAAATAAACATAATGAAACTTTTAGTTATATAATTTTGAATTAGGTATTAAGTTATTAAGGAGTAAGTTTCCCTCTCTTGCTCCTCCCCTTCCTGGCTTCCTTTCTCTCCTACCCACAATCGTTTTTGGGGGTCATGGTTCTGTGGTTCTGGAGGTTTAAGTTAGGTACTCTGGTTCTATCCATGTTTACCACTGAGGCACACACACCAGTTATTGGCTTTAGTTTATCTGAAATATATATTCTCAGTCATTTTCTGTTTTCTTTGTTTAACTGAAAGAAATTTAGGAAGTAAATCACTCACCTTGTTGAGAAGACACTTTTCAATGTCAAATTTTGCAACATCTGCAATCACTTCTCCATCAGGTAAGATGGCATAGATGAGCATTTGAGCAATGGGGGCCATGCGTGCATCCACAGGGATTTCCAGGCCAAAGTGACCTTTTACTAGAGCCCAGCAGGAATGAGAAGATATGGTTATGTGTCAGGATATTGATAGAAAAACCAAAATAACTAAGCACACATGGAGGACTGTTCGTGGAAGTCATTATCTCTCTTGTGGTTAATGGTTTGCACACTAATAATCTCAAGAGGGTTTGCGAATCTCATCACAGGGTATCTTCCATTAAGAAACTTTAATATTGAAAATTATATTTCTGTTTATAGTGAATCATATACTAACCTCTTGTTTCTTTTATGCCTTATCATACAGAATAGCATGTTAGGTGTTATTATTATAAAAAATGGATGAAACAACCTTGATGGATGCTACGTTTATAATTCAGATAAGAGGAAGAACAAAGGAGATGGTGGCCTGGAATTAATGGAACTCAGTGAGGGGTCTGAAAATTACAGATTATCTCAGAGAAGTAAGCCACACTTAAAATAATAATCATATATTTAATATTAAAGACCCTCTGGTATCATCCAAATGTTTATAGTATTTGTATTTCTTGAGAGAAAACTATGCCACGTTAGAAGTCTCTTTTATGATGAGCCTGAGGATTTTCATAAACCTCCTGAAGATGGGTGTTATGGATTCCATTTAGTTTTTTTTTAAAAAGAATTTACTTGATATTTTTACTAAATAGTTAAAAAGTTCTTATAATTGGTCAATGGGAAGGATGTCATTTGTTCTGTAAATATTTTGATTGTCTACTAAGTAAGTATCTGCCAGTGTTACTTGGAACACATATGTGAAAGAAAACTAAGCAAATCCCTGATATTGTTGATATTGTAATAAAAAGAAACATATGATAAATAGGTAAATTGTAGAAATATGTTTACATGTGGTAAGTGCAGTGGGAGAAAAAAAGGCAGAGTAAGGTAAGGTGCGAGGAGAATAGCAGGAACCAGTGGTAACAGGGTTGTAGGTAGGCCAGTAGGAGATGCCTAATGAAGAAAGTGACAGTTGAACCAAGACTTGCACTCATAAATGAACACAACTGTGTTTGCCTGCACAAGACCTCCACAAGATTAAGTAGTCAAAGTTCCAGCATAGATGGGGAGGGGCTCATAAGCTCCCACCCATAGCTGAGGAGATATTGACAGTTGATGGCTACTGGAGGGAGGAAGAATCAGTTTTCTCTTTATGGATGTGGCCCCTGGGATAGCTGTATACCCATGCATGTATAACTCAGCACTAAGCACTAATTAGACTCAGTGAGTTAAAAAAAAAGGAGGAAATGAGTTTGGGAAGGGCAACTGCTGTGAGGAGTCTGAGAGGAGTAGGAAGGGCTTAGTGGGAAGTAGATATGATCAATATGCTTTGTATGCACACATGAAATTCTCAAAGAATAAATAAAAGTTGTGATGGTTGTTCTTGGTTGTCAACCTGACAGGATTTGGAATTAACTAAAACATGAAGTACTTTCTTCATTAGATTATTATTATTATTATTATTTTGTCTTTTTGAAGCAGGGTCTCCCTGTAGCCCCAGTTGTCCTGGAACTCACTATGTAGACCAGGCTGGCCTTGAACTCACAGAGACCCACCTGCCTCTGCCTCCCAAGTGCTGGGACTACAGGCGTTGAAGTCAGAAAACCCATCCTAAACGTGGGCAGCAGCTTCTGATTGATGGCAGCCCATATAAAGGAACACGGCAGAAGGGAGTGTTTGCTTTCTGCCTGCTTTACTTCACTCTCACTGGTGAGTTTATATATCTTGTTGCTGCTGCATTCTTTTGCTGATATTAGAACCAACATCTTCAGGTTCCAACGTAGACTAAAGATCAGAAACTATAAAAAAATCTCCCAGGCCTTCAGTGCCAGATTGGGACTGCTGAGACATTCACTCTTGTGGACTTAACATCTACTGGATTCTCAAACTCTCTAGTA